AGAATTTCTTATCTTCTGCTCTGTAAATACACTTCCCCTCCTGTGTGTGATTAAAGTTCAATTTACAGAGCAAGAGATAAAAACTTGTAAAGTAAATTAACAGCTGACTGGACATGAAATCACTTTTTTTCATGCAGGCTGTGTCAGTCACAGCCAGTGGAAGTGTGGCTAGGCCTGCATAAACAGAAACAAAAATGATTTAAAAGGACACTATAGCCGCCAGAACAATTACAGTTTAATGTAGTGATTCTGGTGTCTGTGGCCTGTTCCTGCCGGCTTTTTAATGTAAACACTGCCTTTTCCGAGAAAAGGCAGTGTTTACATTGCTGCATAGGGACACCTCTAGTGGCAGTCACTCAGACGCAGAATGTTACTCATAGAGATGCATTGATTCAATGCATCTCTAAGATGAGATGCTGATTGGTGCAGCATTTTGCCATGCATGTGCAATAGCCATGGGGAAGCATTGGCTTTGCTAAGATAGTTAAATTTGATTATCTCAGCGAAAAAGGCAGAGCAGTGGCAGGGCCCTGGAAATAAGGTGATTTTTACACCTTTTTAACTGGGGCAAAGGGGTCGGTGGCCTAAATGGCGCATTTAAAACTATAGTGTCAGGAATACATGTTTGTATTGCTGACACTATAGTGTTCCTTTAACTCCTAAATGGCAGAGAATTGAGCAGTAAAACTGCAGAGGCATGATCTATACACAAGAACTCATTAAAGGGACACTATAGTCACCAAAACAACTTTATCTTTATTAAGCAGTTTTGATGTATAGATCATGCATTTGCAGCCTCACTACTCAGTTTTCTGTTATTTAGGAGTTTATTCACTTTTGTTTCTGTTTATGCATCCCTAACCACACCTCCTCTGGCTGTGACTGACACAGTATGCATGAAAATTAAATGGTTTCATTTTCAATCAGATGTAACTTACTGTAAAAGTGTTTATCGCCTGCTCTGTAAATCGAACTTTGATTACATACAGATGACTCCTGCAGGGCTTAGCACGCTATTAAAGGACCACTATAGGCACCCAGACCACTTCAGCTTAATGAAGTGGTCTGGGTGTCAGGTCCAGCTAGGGTTAACCCTTTTTTCTATAAACATAGCAGTTTCAGAGAAACTGCTATGTTTATATTAGGGTTAATCCAGCCTCTAGTGGCTGCCTCATTGACAGCCGCTAGAGGCGCTTGCGTGCTTCTCACTGTGAGACGACGCCAGCGTCCATAGGAAAGCATTGAGAATGCCTTCCTATGAGACTGGCTGAATGCGCGCGCGGCTCTTGCCCGGCATGTGCATTCAGCTGAGGAGGAGGAGAGGAGGCGGAGAGGAGGAGGAGAGCTCCCCGCCCGGTGCTGGAGAAAGAGGTAAGTTTAACCCCTTCCTCACCCTAGAGCCCAGCGGGAGGGGGACCCTGAGGGTGGGGGCACCCTCAGGACACTATAGTGCCAGGAAAACGAGTATGCCTCCTTTAACAGAGGAGGAGATAAGAAATTCTAAATTAAACAGAATTTCCAATAAAGGAAATGTAAACATTAGATGTTTACAGGAAGTGTTTAGGAATGCTGTGCAAATCACATGCAGAGAGGTGTGACTATGGCTGCATAAACAAAGTGGTTTAACTCCTAAATGGCAGAGAATTAAGCAGTGAGACTGCAGGGGAATTATCTATACATCAAAACTGCTTCATTAAGCTAAAGTTGCTTTGGTGACCATAGTGTCCCTTTAAGCTAAATTTGTTTTGATGCAAAAAAAAACTATTACTTTGTAATTCATGAGAACTATAAACATATACAAATAAAAAGCAAAATATCTATATTTGCCAGATTCAGGAATTCTAATTACTTGTAATTTCCTAGGTGCTTGCCATTTTTCTTCAGGGTGTGGGGCGAACAACAAAAATTATGAGTTCATGCTTAGCCACTGCATATTCTCCAAGTACTGTGTGTTTGACATACGGCAGTGAGTATAGGAGAAGCTAATTTAGCACGCTGGTAGGAGGCAAGTGGATTCTTTATCCAGCTCTTTCTATGAATGTGCAGTCAGGAATAATTAGCCAGAATTTAAAGTGAAGACTAAATAAGTTTATTCCCTGATCTTCTTTCACGTGCTCTGCATGACTTATTGTATGTATTTTGTAGGCATTTTCTGCAGGACAGGAGTGTGTAAAATGCAACAAATTAGCAAGCTTGATAGAAGCCCCAAGATGTAAAGTTTAAAAAAAAAACAAAGAATATAAAAAGGAAAATAAAATAAAGAGGTGGAAACACTGATGCTCAAGCCAGGAAACTGGGTACAGGAGTGTGGTATCTATAGCACAGACACAAAATACACGGTAATTATTCTTTGTACATATAGTCATTTTGTTCAGGAGTTAGGAGAACTTGAGGTAGGAGAGCAGGCAATTTCGATTATGGAAAAGCTGACATATCAGCCGAGACTGACAGAGGACAAACAGGACATAATGTTGCAACTATTTGTTTGTTAGTTCACGAATAATAGGTTAATTCTGTGGCTCCCAAACTTTTTAGATTCAAGGCGCCCTTAATATTTCAGTATTTTTCCAAGGCACCCCAAGTCAAAATTTTAGGTTGTATATCTGTACAGCGCTGCAGCATTTACTGGCGCTATAGTGTAATGTACAGCATTGGTGTTTGAAGGGATGCTTGTATATATTTATTGTGTTTTAATACAGGTGTGTGTTTGCATGTAATGTTTGCTTTGATTGCAGGGTGTGTCCAAATGTAATGTTCACTTTTAAATGTGGATGTACATTTGTGTGAAGCATTTGTGTTTGAATGAAGGGGTGTATATGTTGTTTTTTTTAGTTTGAATGCAGGGGTGTGTTTGTATGTTGTGCTGGTGTTTGACTGATTGGATGTATGCACATACACTACCACATACATACATACATACTTACACAGATATAAATGCACATTAACACGCAGATGCATATAAATACACAGACCTATACACACAAATTCATTTAGACACCGACACAGAAGCACTGACATATACACACACACACACACACAGATGCACACCCTGACACACACACATACACACTCACAGATGTACACCCTGACACACACACTCACACAAAATACACTCACACATTCATACACACTCTTACTCACACTCATACATACACACACACATTCATACATACATACATACACACACTAATACACATTCACACTCAAACTCATACAAACACTCACACACCAGTGATTTTTTTATATCTCCAGCCACCCTCCTGTTAGCTTACCTTGTGTCTCCAGGAGGGTGGCTTGGAGTCCTGGTCCTGGTGGGGGGAGCTAAGGGGTCTGAAGCAGCTCCTATTGTGCTCCTCTCCCCTCACGCTATGGCTGCCTCCTCTCCTTCCCGCACTGTCTGTCAGCATGACGCTGGGAGGAAGTGACAGGCTATCACTTCCTCCCAGCCAGCCGACATTACAGGGGCCCGGTCGCAGTCTTAAAGGACCGCAGCACTCGACTGGGTCCCTGTTGACCAGTAATGCTTCCCCGATGCTATAATCATAGCATCAGAGATACATTCCGCAGCGCCCCAGGGCGTCACGGCACACAATTTGGGAACCGCTGGGTTAATGCTTCATAAATAATAACAATATAACCTCCCTCTCTCTCTGTGTATTGTGGATTAGCAAACAGTTTAAATAATTATTTTAATTCCCAAAGATTTTAGAAAAAATAGTGAATTCTCAAAGTAGCTTGAATTACATGAATATAATCTTGTGCATACCAAAGTGAAGATACAATATCATTAAGCACCCAACTGTCAAGAACTATACATAATCTTGTCAAGAAAAATACATAACTTGTGACTCTCCAGTGCTTCAGAAATATGATATTAGGGTGGTCATTTGAATGTAACTCTATGTCGCTGATGCTTGAATTCTCTTGTGGACTCCACACAGAATTCTGCATGCTGTATAAACACCGGTAAAAATTACAGTCTCAGTAATAAATTAAATGTGTACAGGAAACATGGTTAATAAGAATTTTGCAAACATATACCCCACTATGCTTGTTTGGTAAAAGAGTGGCGAAATATACAGCAAATCAGAGGATACAGATATAAATCCAAGCAGAGACTGCTCATGCATGGGTCCTGATGGGGCTACGGCCCCTGGCCGTACTTTGACAGGGTCACCATATTGCTGCTCCCAGCTCCTGTACATGTTAAATAGTCCGTAGCAAGCGTCTATCTGCTTCTCAGTGGACTGAACGCAGAGCTTTCCTCCTCCAATTGGAGGTAAAGTTCTCTTGTGGGTGTGGGTACTGCCAAGACATGCGGGGATGTCAAACGTAACGCCTGTGCTCTGTGGCACTTCCTCCTAAGCAGATCAATCTTATCTCTGAGCTGCATCGGAGAGGTTAAGATAAATAAATAAATTGGCCAGCCCTGCATCCGAGCATAGGCCTTCTGCAGTGTACATAATTATTATTTTATTATTTATATAGCGCTATCAGATTCCGTAGCGCTGTACAATGGAATTAACAACTACTGCCCTTGTTCAAACAAGCACATGAAATACACAGAGAGCATGGTTCACATATAAAGAGGTAGATAATATGTAATATAGGCTTATTGAAACATCCACTGTTGTATGTAAATGCATGGCTACAGAAGGATAGAAACATAGAATGTGACGGCAGATAAGAACCATTCGGCCCATCTAGTCTGCCCAATTTTCTAAATATTTTCATTAGTCCCTGGCCTTATAGCTAGGATAGCCTTATGCCTATCCCACGCATGCTTAAACTGCTTTACTGTGTTAACCTCTACCACTTCAGATGGAAGGTTATTCCATGCATCCACTACCCTCTCAGTAAAGTAATACTTCCCGATATTATTTTTAAACCTTTGTCCCTCTAATTTAAAACTATGTCCTCTTGTTGTGGTAGTTTTTCATCTTTTAAATATAGTCTCCTCCTTTACTGTGTTGATTCCCTTTATGAAAATATGAAAAAGCTGTCAGAAGTGGGATTTGAACCTAAGCCTCCATGTGGAGACCAGAACACCCATATTGTGGAGGGAAGTTGATCTTGAGTCTGGCGCCTTAGACCGCTCGACCATCCTGACACTGTGTTACCAGCTAATTAATGTGCATGTGTATTGGCCGCAAATAAATAAACCCCATAGATTTATGGACAAGGACCAAAGTAAAGCTCAAGAGGATTATGCACAAAACTATGAATTATGAAGAACTGTCATGGTAATTTCAAACATCCGAAATGGAAAAAATTACCTGTTTTAACTATTTTTCCAGCTTACCAAGTTTGGTTTAAATTAGCAATTTCCTTGACAATTATGCACAATTCCTGGTTAAATGAATAATCATCCACAGACTTTTTGTATAAAATAGGAATTGTTGGTATTTAATCAAAAGGATTTAAAATTTTAAGCCAGAACAGCTGAATTGCAAAAAAAAATCCCGAGATCTGATGTTTTGACCTAAAATATGCAGTCCCTGGAATCCTCTATAATTCCTAGTTTTGTGAATTACTCTGCAGGTAAGAGTACAAAGCCTTGAACTAGACGGTAGACATGGAATTTAAAGGAGAAATGTCACTTTCTAGGTTTTTTGTTGTTGTGCACAGATAACATTAAAGGCAATGCTTTGCCACAACAGCAGTGGCACACATAATAAGTATGATTGAGAACAGTGAGCCTCGAGCTATGTTGCTTTCGGAGTCCCCCATCTTCCCCTTTTGGAAGTCGCGATGCGGTTTGCTGCTCTGTCGCTGCCGGCGGGAAGTATTCTCCATCTGCATGCGTGATACTTCGGGGCTGGGCCCCTAGTAGCCTTCTTCCCAGGCAGCTTTGCAGTGGGCAGTAGTGTTTTGGGAGCCGGTGGTGCCTGAGGTAGTGCGGTTCGCCCAGCGATTTGGAGCCAGAACTTTGCACACATGGCGTTAAAGCGGGCATTGAATAGGGCTCTCCATCTTTGGCACTCCCAGTTTTTATAATTTGTAGAGCAGTATGCTTAAGTGTTAGTCAGAAGAGATGCGAGAAGGCTTGTGTTAGGCTTGGTGTCTGACTGTGTTTGTGGTATAACATAAGGTGATTTGACAGATGATAATAGCCACTGGATTGCCTGTTAGGACATTGATAAACATATTGGTTTAGAAGTGCAGGGGCAGTTTGCTAAGCTGCATATATCACATATGTAAAAACGAGCATTAAAAGCAAAAATAAGACGCAGCAGTTTAAGTGAAAGAAACAGGAGTCCCAGTTACACAGGAAGTGGTTGTGGAACACAGGTAGCCCGTTCACATAAGGCACTCAGCCAACTCCAGATCTTGAGGCCCGCAGCTTGGCAGCAGGGATCAGCTCAGCAATATGGTGCAGCCAGCTACCCAGTGAGATGCAGGGCGGCACTGCAGCCGCGATGTCAGAGCTCCGCTGGAGGCATTCAGTGGGAGGATGGTCATCTCTGCACTTAATGGCTCGGTGGAAGCGAGGAAATATAACCCTCAAGTCCCAGGTCAGCGTAGGTATCTGCTTCAGTGAGCCTCGAGCTATGTTGCTTTCGGAGTCCCCCATCTTCCCCTTTTGGAAGTCGCGATGCGGTTTGCTGCTCTGTCGCTGCCGGCGGGAAGTATTCTCCATCTGCATGCGTGATACTTCGGGGCTGGGCCCCTAGTAGCCTTCTTCCCAGGCAGCTTTGCAGTGGGCAGTAGTGTTTTGGGAGCCGGTGGTGCCTGAGGTAGTGCGGTTCGCCCAGCGATTTGGAGCCAGAACTTTGCACACATGGCGTTAAAGCGGGCATTGAATAGGGCTCTCCATCTTTGGCACTCCCTGTCTGCTAGGGAGTAAGGAGATTCAGTCATGGCAGCCATCTTGGGTAGGTCGCTTGGGTTCATGCTAGCCACTGATAGCCTTCATTAAGGAGACAAGAATGCCCAGTGGGGACGGGGATATCCCACACCGTTCCAAAGGGGGGGTGCACGGGGTCTTTCCACCGGATTGCCTGGCTAGGGTCGGGCATGGAGATTGGCCGTCTCTCCCGCCACAGTATCACGCTAGGCCACAACCAGCTGGAGGCTCCTGCTTCTTTGATAAATGTGCTGCCTGAGTCAGGAGCAGCGTTCAGTTCACCCTAGGTGCTCTCGGTGTCAGTACCAGGTCAGGAATGGTGAGTAGCGGGTTGTTTGCTCCCCCTAAATCGGTAGTTTAGCTGGGTTTGTACAAAGTTCCTGTCTCGTGCGACTGACCAGTATGGCGGTTAAGCCCACCCCCCACTTTCTAGGCTTTTTAATATTATATTCACTTATCTCCTATATTCAACAATTATGGAATTGTGTGGTCGAAAAAAAAAAAAATTAAATGTAAAAATCCACACTACTCCATGCTGGAACTATGCACATCCAACTTGGCTCCCTGACAATCACTGTTATAAGCTCTGACTATTGCACTTGTCTCTTAACATAGAGATAAACATTGGGGGAGATTTATGAACATGTCATGTTCTGAAAAGTGGTCAATTAGAGGGGAGCAATCAGAATGGACACCCACGTGAATCAGCTGTTACACTGCACAATGTTTCACAACCAGATATTTCTTTTTTTACGCAGTTCCATAACGCCATCTAGTTAAGTTAGATATGTATATCTCTCACCATTCAGATAACATAGCATTCGTGGACCCCAAATATTGGCCCTGCCCCTTACTGGATTACAAGCTATAACCCCAACCTTTCCCCAATGGAGGCACTGGAAAAACTGGTTTGTGGTGTCAATGGCTAAATCTTTAAATACACATTTAAAAAAATACGTATCATATAAAAGAAGGGTTAACACAAATGTTAGGTAATTTTAACTGATTGTACCAATTTTTAAGGCACAGCTTCAGTCCACGATTTAGGCATTTTCCAAATATGTTCCTGTGGGTATACCGAGGCCATTTATGTGCTTTGTGGACAGGGTGAGGGTTGGGTCTTTGACTATGCAACACTGCAGTTTTGAATCCGTTTCCAAGCTTGCCACAGTCAGTTAGCAACAAGCTTGCCACAATCAGTTTTAAGTCAGAAAGAATATTAGTATACTCAAACACTATATCCCACTAAATCCTCAAACACAGACACTTCTACCATATTTGTATCTATCTGGACCTTTTTTTAGGATTGTCAACAGCATACAAGCAAGTGTCCCGACTAAAAGATTTTTTCCATATACTTCTCCAACCTTAACATGGACAAAAGTTAGTGAAAGTAGATTAAAACAAAATATTGTCTAAATCTTTCCACAGATGAGCATATGTACTACAACAGGTTCGATGTCATTGCAGTCAATTAAGGATTTGCACACGTAAAAGAAAAACAAATTAACAAAAACTTGAAAATACGTTTTCTGGCAATGAACATGTATCATATGAAAGAAAAGCCCATGTTGTAAAAAGTTGCCAATTGTCTCCCAGCTTTTTAAGTTCCACTCTGTCATACTTAATGTACGCTACTGGAGTGGCCAGCTTAATGATCTTTTTCTTTCATTGTGTCAAGTTTTGACATTTTTAGGGGGAATACAATCCCACCATACAAAATAGCACAGAAGATGGGGAACAAATTATATCCTCCAAGCCTACTCAACCCAACCCACCTCTTGCTGTATGTAATAATGCTACTGCCATCATACCTGTATCCCTCTATTCTTAACCTGTGTACATGTTGATGGCGCTGCCACTCTTGCTTTCCTTTGTTCATTTATAAACAGAGAGGTGTTCCATCTCCACCAGCAGATTATGTGGAAAAACCAAGGGAATGGCCCTAAATAAATCTACAAGTTTGGGATGTTTTCATTATATGTATTACTTTTATAATGCCACTAGAGGGCAGCAGAGGAAATGTTTTCCTTACAGGGGATCCACAGTTCACACTGGTATTTTTAGATCTTTGTATTTTTAGCACAAATAGCAAAGTATCTCCTGGCAGTTCTGAGATGAGACAATGTGTACATAGATGTTCCCTGTCAGCTGAAACTTTTGACCTAGCTTTTAACTGTGAGTGCTAGTGAAACATTGCACTTACTGTAGTGAAAAAATGTTTCACTTTGTGAGCATCGTAGCGTTGAGCACCACAGAATTTGGCATTACAGGGGTTAAACTCGAGCACTACTTTTATGCTGTTAAAACCATGATAGAACCAATAAGATTGGCAACTTTACAAAACATATAACCCTTACACGTGGAAGTGTTGGGTAATTTATTTAACTGGTTTTAACCTCTTTAAGGGATACTATATGGGGCATTAAAGCCTTCCTTTTTCATGCATTATATAAATCATGCATTAAAAAACACACGTAGCTTGTCTCCCAGTCAGGCACAGTTCCACTCATCACAAGGATGAATTGTACTGCTGAATTAGCGGACGGCAGCCATATTGCGGGTGATGTCGGTTTAAACATAGCATGGTTTACAGTTTTGAGAAATGGGCTGAGCACAGTAATCTACAGACCTGTTAACCGCACCTGACCCAAGCTGTAGTTCTGAGCGCTAATATCGAACATGCTTCGTAGACACTAAAAAGATTCCTTCCTGATGTCAGGGAACATTCTTATAGTTGCAGCAATTTTTGCAAATCACTGCAGATAAGCCACCCTGGGAAATCACACTGAGTACTCTCTGCACCATAACTATCGCAATGATTAAAGATGTTATGGTGCTTAGTGTGACTCTTGTAGGACCAATGCTGGTGTGTTATGATAGAAAAGGGTTTGACTAATCTCTTGTCCTTGAGGAGTAAAGGCTTTGAGTGATCCAAACAGGCCAGTCTCTGCAAACAGCTTGTTCAAATATAATGGTTTGCTAACATCATGATCAAGATGGGTAAACAAAATACTGGTTACATGTAAGAATTTCGGACACTGTCATCCAAAAAACACTTTTTTTTGTTAGTTTAGTTGTTGGATACAACTTTGTCCATCCAAGAGGTGAGTTCTATTACAGACATACCAGTTTACACACATTTTTGGAAATTAGTAGTGCACTGGTGATATTAACATGGCTTTAAATTGCTTCTGAGGCCTCCTGAGAGGGGTCGACTACCAAAAGGATGAACAATTGTGATTTTGTCTCTTCTGTCAGTG